TAACCAATCAGAACACACCTCCACCCAATCAGAACACAGCCAAGCTCCCACCCAATCAGTTCAAACCCCACTGGCAGTTAAAAGGAAGAAACAGCTGCGATCACACATTACTCCTAGAAGCACGAAGCTGAAGACACCAGCCTGAAGATGACGAATGGGACTTCGTCGAAACGTCGCCAAGACACTTCCAATTTTACGCGGGAGAAAACCCAAATAACCAAAGACCTACATACAAACACCCGCGAAAACCTCAGAAAACACACACACACACACACACACACACATATATATATTTGCATACTTTCATTTTGAAATTTATAGGTTAACCAGCAAGATTTCAGGTACAACATTTTATTTACAAGCAAATAAAAGCTTTTGTAAAATCATTTTGAGTAGAATTACTAACTTAAGTAAACCTACCATAGTTGATAGTTTGCACATCAAATCGGTTTTTACTTAAATGTTTTCTAAAATTATATCCAGTCCTTGATAAATTAATAAACAAGGCAACCAATAATGATATAGATATTAGTATCAAAATGAATAGAATGTAGCCTACTATTCATAAAAGCCACAATATCTTCAAGGAAAATTTTCTAAAATATTTTTCATAACAAAACATAAAATGGCATTAATTTCACACTTATATAATCTGCTTTATAAACTGAGATTCACAGTTTCTGCATTTAGTTTACCACCACTTAAGCTATGGATCATTGCAATCATATGAGAATGTTTGTTTAGTTCTTCTTGCTGAAGCTTGATTAAAGCCTCCTTTTCTTCTAGTCGCCCTTCCAACTGTGACTTCTGAACTTCCAAAGAAGATGCCTGAAAATACATATTATACACTATTTAATATAGCTAACAAACATGCAAATATGCATTCTGTTCACATTGGGTGAAATCAAAATCCAATAAATTCCACGCTATAGATCACAAAACCTACTTAGAACATCTAAACTGACAAACCAGTCGGCAATTAGACAATAACTCATAAAACATGTTTTGAAATGGTTTGGTTGTTAATTATAATTGTGCTAAGTATATTTTGGAGGATGTTTTAGTCGATAAATTATACTCATCTATTATTTTTTTTATGAATCTAAGAAGACAGTCTTATTTATTCGAAAGTGTATCTCATTTAATTCAATATATCTCTAGCAATATTTGCAACCTCTATCCATTTTTAATTTTATTTTGCTCAATATGTATACATATCAACAATGAATTTATTCTCTATTCTCTAGAATCACAAGAAGTGGCAGCACACAAATAATCCTAAATAAATAAATAACTTACCTTAATACTCAGTTCTTTTCTTGCCTGTTCAGTTTTACTTAGCTCTTTTCTAAGAATGTCCATTTTGTCCTCCATATCTATTTTTTCCTTCTGTCTGGCTTTTAGTTTTTCTTCCTGAACTTTTATCTTCTGTTGTAAACCTTTTAAAAAATATGTAGGGAAAAAAAGTGGTTCATTTGACTCCAAAACTTTTGGACACTGATACTTTCCTACAACTATCATTGCATGAATTGTGCAGCACTGCCATCTGCTGAACATTGACTGTTCACATTTTATAGTCCTCAATATTTGTCTTAATAAAGATGCATTTTTCAGTTTAGTGCAAAAACATACTTCACTTGAAATGGAGATTTTAAGAAACAAAGTATAATAGTTATACTTAATATTGCACAGCCACAATTCCCTTAACTGTGGCTTCTTTAATAAACCACTAATGATAGGTGACACTAAACCAAATCCAAAGAAATCACATTCCAGCTCAGAGGAACATGTGAACTCAGATATTATTATTTTTTTTGCCTAATTTGCCTTACATACAAATAATTTATTCTGAACAACTGAAATTGCTTGTATTAGTTCAGGTGTAGTCAACCTTGGCTGTTTTATGACTCGTGGACTTCAATTCCCAGAATTCCTGAGCCAGCTTAGCTGGCTCAGGAATTCTGGGAGTTGAAGTCCACGAGTCATAAAACAGCCAAGGTTGACTACCCCTGTATTAGTTAATTCAGCAACTTACATGTTTCTCAATATATCTGGCTACAACAATTATTGTTTCTAACTCATGATGAGATATCTGTTATTTGGCCAGATGAAGAAAGTATTCTCTTGTGGCATTGTTAAAAATCTGTGCTGTGACTTGTGTATTGATATTCCTGTTTCTATTAATCACCAAAGAAAATACCCTGCACTTTCAGTTACTGTTTGCCAAAGGTTTTTCTTAGCATTTAATTGTAAGTCCAAGTACACATAGTCTTCAACTTACAACCACAATTTAGCCCAAAATTTTTGTTGCTAAACAAGATAGTTTTTAAATGAGTTTTGCCCCATTTTACAACCTTTCTTGCCACAGTTGTTTAGTGAATTACTGCACTTGTTAAATTAGTAACACAATTGCTAGGTGAATTTGGCTTCCTGTTGACTTTGCTTGTCAGAAGGTCCAAAACATGACCCCCCGGCCACTGCAACATCACAAATATGACTCAGTTGCCAAGCATCTGAATTCTGATCACATGACCGTGAAGATGCTATTATAGTCATAAGTGTGAAAAACATTCATTAAGTCACTTTTTTCAGTACTGTTGAATGGATACTAAACAAATTGTTGTAGTTCAAGGACTATCTGTAACGGAACATGCTGTTTGTCAAAAATAAGCACGTTGTCTGGTGAGGAAAGAACGCTAGCCTATAAATCAGCGGTTCTCAACCTATGGGTCGCGACCCCATTTGGGGTCAATTGACCATTTCACGGGGGTCGCCAAGCAAGGCTGTCCGCCATTTTTCCCCCTTTTCCGGCGGGTGCCTTACCTCCCTTGAGTTGGGCCGGCTGGTGGTCGGCCTGCTCCGTCTCTGCCGCTTGCCAGCTATGCCTCGGCCGGCGCAGGGGGCGGAACCACGCATGCGCGGCGCTCCCGGGCAGGGAAAGTCGACTTACGACCGGTTGGATAGTCCTCGACGTACGACCAGTTTAGTCCTCGACTTACGACCGGTTGGGGGTCGCGGCATTAAAAAGGTTGAGAACCACTGCTATAAATAGTTTAATTTACATTAGGCAAAAACCAGATCCTAAACAGCTCAGGGGTGGTAAAATCTAGCAGCAGGCTTTGTTGTTAGAGCAGAAGATAGGGAGTAGCACTTTATTTTTTTTAAAATATTTGCTTTTTAGGCTTTCTCACTAGCATTAATAATGCTTGAAATAAAATAGTTCCCTGTTGGTTTTGGGAGAAGACTAAAATTCAGCTTGTCTAGTTTTTTTGGTCTGGCTTTCTAAAATGAGGGAGCAGGACTTGTATGCTTTATACCAGAGGTATTAGAGGCAGATTGTTCTGCACAACGTAGAAAACAGGTTTTTGAAATACTGCTTGTCTTTGGGATGTCTTAAAAGGGAACATAAAAATGAAATATGTAATGATATAAACAGACTGGCAATGAAATGTCTACAAGAAAACAACCAAGCTAAGGGAGCACAAAGAACCCAACAAATACGCAGTAATAGAACATGTGAATTTTTTTACCCTTTCTTTATAAGCAATATGTATGAAAAAGCTGATATACTTATAGATACTAACTTGATATTTGCCCATCTTTTTCTTGCATCTGTTTGTTCAATTCTTTTCTATGTTCTTCTGTTTCAAGAAGCTGAGCAACAGTTCTGAAATTGTAGGCATAAATATTAGATTTCACATTTTAAAATACATATGAAAAATAATACTGTATGCCTCTAAGTATCGTACTGTAGTATGTATACCAATTACAGCCTTACTTTTTATCAAAGTTTATTTTCATAATATAGACCTTCAACAGCGAGATGCACCCAGACCCAA